CCCCAAATGCACACACCAGATTGCACTTGCCCCCAACTTACTGCGGTAGGTCTTGGGGACGTGGGCGACTGCCATGCAACCGAACACCCTCAGCATGTCCACCGGCGGCTTCCTCCCAAGCCACCTCTCCAACGGCACCCACGAGTCATCCCCAACCTTTGTGAGTACCCTGTTCCTAGCGACGGTAGCGTGCCGAACAGCATGGGGCCACATCAAGTTGCCCAGCCCAGATTCTATGAGCAGCGCCCTAGCTGTCTCCAGAATTGTCCGGTTCGCCCGTTCTGCTACACCGTTAGACTGTGGGGTGTAAGCCGTGGTCAGCTCCCTCTGGATGCCCTGCTTCTTGAGCCAGGCCGTCATCTCAGCTCCAAGGAACTCACCACCCCGATCTGTCCTAATCCGCTTCACCACACACTCCGCTTGCTTCTCCACGAATGGCAGCCAATCTTCCCGTATCGTAGAGGCGGCATGGTCCTTCTGCTTCAGCGGATATGCCCACATAAGCCTGCTCCAATCATCCACAATGGTCAGGAAGTACCGCTCCCCCTTGTGTCCCTGAACCGGCAGCGGCCCCACCAAGTCCATGTGGACCAGCTCCAACGGCTTTTTGCTCCTGCCAGCCACACTATGGAAGGGGAAACGGGTAAACTTTGAGAGCAAACAGATTTCACAGTTATCATCGGGTGGTTGTCCGTTCAGCTTCAAGCCCTTAACGGCTCCATCCTTCTCCAACTGCTTCAGCAAAGGCATTGCCACATGCCCCAAGCGTCGGTGTGCCGTTGCCCAATCCGTCTCCCCAGATCTGGCCGACACTTTCACACCAACCCCTCCAACGGCGTTGCACTCCCCCTGGGATGCAGACCCCTCTCTAGCCTGCCCCCCACCGTGCCACGCCAGCGCCGGCAGCTGCCACATGGATCTGTACACGTCCTTGCTTTCGTGCAGATCCCAAAGCACCCGATTGCCCAGCTTCCCCTTATAAGTGCGAGCCCCATCCGTGTTGGTGTTCACCCCAGCCTTGCCAAGCTTACGGAGGGAGATGAGGTTGGCCTTCAGGTCGGGGACGAGGAGAACGTCGTGCAGCACCACCGGCTTGCCATCCGCTCCCTTAAATGCAGCTCGTCCCGCACCAGCCACCTTCAACATGTGTCCAGAGGCAGAGCACACCTCATTAATCGGTGCAGCGCGTACGTCGTCCAGCAGGTCCTTGCGCGGCGTCATTGTCCAAGCAGCGCCTGTGTCCAACACCCAATAGTCCAGGGGGTGCAGCTCTGCTCCAGCCTTAGCAGATGCGTCTCCTTGCTCCCCCTTGTCTCCCATATGGAAGAATTGGCCCGCGGTGCGCTCCTTCTTCTTCTCCGCACCGCCGTTGCCCTTCGGGTTGTTGTCGGACGAATCAGCGACCATGTTGGCGCCGTTTTTCTGGTTCCTCCGCGCGCCGCCATCCTGGTGACGATTCTGGGGGGTCCATCCATCGGGTTTCTTATAGCACAAAAACCAGGGGTGCCCCTCCTTCTCACAATACCAGCAACTCCCTTTCATTTTGCCACCAGCACCCGACTTGCCCCCACGTCCAGATTTCGCACCGCGACCCCAACCGGTACCTCCTTGTTGGTCGTTGGAGTCGTCGTCTTTCTTTGCACCGCGTCCAGCACCACCGAAGCCACGTCCTTTGCCACGTCGGCTCCCTTGCATCCCGTAGCCGCTGCTGCCGTCGTCTCCACCCCTCAGTTGGCGGCGACGGAAGTCCTCCTCCAGAATCTTCGTCCGCACCCACTCGAGCGTCCACAAGCTCTGGTTCTGCGGCAGGCTCAATCCGCTCGTAAATTGAAGCCACGATTCCGGCAGCAGCGAGAGCATCTTCAAGCACTTTGTTTGCTCCGGGTAGGTGATTCCTGCGGTTGCCAACTTCGCGTAGAGGTCGCGCAATTTGTCCAGGACAGGTTGCACCGGCTCTCCCTCGCTCAGGCGCAACGCGGACAGCTCCCTCTCCAGCATCAATGTTGCAACAACGGAGGTCGGGGCGTGCAGCTCCTTCAACACCGTCCACGCCTTCGGACCGCACTCAACCTCCGGCAGCAGGTGCATGACGTGGTGACGCTGGTTCAGCTCCAAACTCTGCGACATCAAGTAGTAGCCAGCCGAGGCGCGCTCGTCCCAATCTTCCTGAAGGGCGGGGTCACTCGGTCTAGGCTCCTCCCCAATCATTAGTTTCAGCAATCCGATTTGACGGAAATAAAGTTGCATTTTCCAGGCCCAATCATCATAGCCCTCACCATTGAACTTCTCGACGGTGAAGTTTTTCAGCACCTCCTTGATCAGCGAGCCCTGGCTTGTTCGCGCTCCCCTTGGCGCAGAAACACCAGAATCATGGCTGCCGCTACGATCTTGGGCTGAAGATTCACCAGCTACCGCCGAGGTGTTGCCCGCCATAGCTACCTATATCGAGGATCACTATAACGCAGCTCTGATACCAGCTTGTTGGTGTAAGGGCCTAATAAACTCAAGCTATTAAGACTTTATCACACTTAAAACCTCTCCTCGGGGTCACCTCCAAGGGTCCTTGGGTGCCTGGTACAAGACCAGCCCCTATCCTCGGGTCCGAGTTTGTAGAGAGAGGGATCAAGAGGGACTTAGTCAAAACAGCAAGAGTACCTTGAACGTCGCGCAGCGTATCGTGCAGACCGTCGATCGGATTAAGCTGAGAATTTCCTATATCGAAGCTCACTCTAAGAGCTTTAAAATAAGCCACGTTGCCTCGCGAAAAGTTCTGCCATTACGAAGTTATGGCTCGGACAGCGTTAGCCTAGCGTTGGAGTGCTAGCGTACTAGCGTTGACTCGGGTAGCATTCCGCCGTCGCACCGCGTAGAAAAGAAATTCCAGCAAGGAAGGAATTCGCTTGAATCAATTTTACTATATTCAGGTACAAACAGAGAAGGAATAAATAGCTCTAGCTAGCAAGGACCTTGGGAATCAACCTGGGAACAACCAGGGATGATCCCAAATAATTCCAAGCAACAGAACCAACCTGGCTGGACAAAATAGCAGGTGATAGGTTGGTGAACAACCTCTGGTTCTGTTTTTCCAACCTGGGAAAACAACAACCAGGTTCAGGTCCTAAAAACAGAACCTGTTTTGTCTTTGCCCAACCAGCCAAATGCTGGTTCCGCTGGTTTCCCCTGGCCCTGTAGCATGCAGATACAGACAAACAACATCCAACCTTCACCTAAATTGTACCCCTATAGTGCCTGCCCTGCTACACTATAGTCAACCAAACAAAACAGTACAATTTCGAGTTGGATAGAACTGAATCTGCGCAATCAAGTAAGCCGAACCGCAAAGCTTCCATCTTGGGTTCCTTTGCGAGCTCGTCCTTTCTGCTTGTACTGTTCATAGCGCGTACAATGTTATGCCGAAGCGCACATTTTGCGAGTACCTGCAAATGCTTCAAGCGAAAATTGCGAAAGCAAACAAACACACAAACATACCATTCACACGCAAATGCATTCGCACACGCATACTCGTACAAACAGACGGCAGGATGTCGTGCAATGTGAATTTGCACCCAACAGGCAGGTACTATAGGGGTACAATTTAGGTAAAGGTTGGATATTGTTTGTCTGTATCTGCTTGATACAGGGCCAGGGGAAACCAGTGGAACCAGCATTTGGCTGGTTGGGCAAAGACAAATCAGATTCTGTTTTTTTAAAGGACCTGAACCTGGTTGTTGTTTTTCCCAGGTTGGAAAAACAGAACCAGAGGTTGTTTACCAACCTACCACCTGCTGTTTTGTCCAGCCAGGTTGGATCTGCTGCTTGGAATTATTTGGGATCATCCCTGGTTGTTCCCAGGTTTATTCCCAAGGTCCTTGCTAGGTAGAACTGAGAAAATTAGAACGAGAATGAATGACTAAGGAATGGAAGTGATACAAATATGCAACCCTAGAAATGTGTACCCCATATAGGCTACCCCACTATGTCATATAAATCTGACACACCCCCATAGGCAAAGTGGGGGAGAACAAGGGGTCACAAGACCAGTCAAGCAAAGCAGACAAAGCTTAGGGTGGATCACAACGTCACCATACAGTCCGAGGACAAGGTCAAGGCCACAAGGCCAGTTCACATGCTGGAGTACACATATATATATAAGGCTAAACAAGCAAGGGCAGGTATATATATATATGTAAGAGTACAAGCAATGTCAAGGGGTGAGCTTGTGAGGCAAGACAGGCACAAGACCCAGCTGAATGCAAAAGCGCTGATGATCACAAAGCGGAAGTGCCTTGGTGAAAACATCAGCAGTGTTGGCCTCAGAGGCCACGTACGCAAGTCGCAACTGACCACGCTGCTGCAACTCACGAGCAAGAAAGTAGCGGAGAGCAATGTGCTTCGTTCTGTGCTCCAGGCGCTGCTTCCGACACAAGGCCAGCATGGCCTTGTTGTCTACGTACAGCACTGGAGGAGAACGAGGCGGCTCTCCGAGGTCAGTCAGCAGGTAGGTGAGCCAGCGAAGCTCCTGTGCAGCCATGGCCCCGGCGTAGATCTCAGCCTCACAACTGGAGCCGAGAACAGAAGACGAGCGAGTAGCCCGCCACGAAACAGAGCCGGAACCAAGACTGAAGGTGTAACCCTGTGACGACCGCTGCGTAGCCTGGTCGTCAGCCCAAGAAGCGTCCGCGTGCCCAGTAAGGACCACTAGACTCGGGATGTCTAGTGCATCTGGGTCTCCCTCAGGGGTAAGCAGTACGGACGCGAGATGAGGTGAAGCAGCAGCCAGACACTGGAACTCCTCCTGCCTCTCCTCAAGGACGTCCGTGCTAAGAGCTCACTCATTCCCGACGGATGGAGGACAGACAGACGCAGACTCAGCAACAAGACTAGCAGCGTAGTCTAGACGATAGCGAGCAGCAAAGTCGACGAGCTTAGCAACAAGAGCAGACGCAGCAGTGGACTCAAACGAGGGGTCAGTGACGACAGTAGCAAGGAGACGCGTGACGCTAGGACTGGCAGCACGAAGAGAGTCCGACTCCGGGTCGGCAAGCGCAGGAAGAAAGGACTCAGGAGGAGAAGGCAAAGGGACACGCAGAGGAGCAGTGGACGGACGCAGAGACATCCGGTGCGTGCCAGGGACAGGACGAGGACGCTGACCGAACCGCGACCACTAGCGCGAGCAGCACGAACACGCGACGCGGGACGAGACGCAGGCTCACGACGCTCAGCAAGACCTCTAGTAAGACCAGTGTAAGGAGAGGGAGCAGGCAGTGGGGAGGTGGGCGGTAACTGTGACTGTGACTGGACAGGCGGTGGACACCCTACAGGAGGAGAAGGACCAAGAACCTGCTGAAGGAGCGGAACGAAGTACGGCCGAGGCCGCGCAGCGACTCCAGACACAGCAGGGACAGCACCAGCACCCTCACCGGCAGTACCAGCGCCAACATCACCTCCAGCTGCAGGACCTCCAGCAGTACGAGCAGCTCCCGCAGCAGGACCATTGCCAAGACTGACAGCAGTAGCCTCAGCGCGAACACCCTCAGCAGCTCCAGCTCCAGTCGTACCCGCAGGCCCAGCAGCTCCAGCACTCCCAGGACGAGCATCTCTGGGACCGGCGGCACCAGCACCCGCAGCGGCCGAAGAAGCTCCAGCTCCAGCAGTACGCCTCCAGCGCCAGGCAAACCACTCGCGCAACTCCTGTGGGGTGAGTGGCTCCCGCCGAGACAAAGCACTCGGAGAACCTCCAGGCCTAGCACCGCCAGACGCCACACGAGCAGGTCCAGCGGCCGCTGGCTCCGCACCACCAGGCTTAGTAGCTCCACACGCAGCACCCCCAGGCTCAGCAGCTCCTGACGTAGCACCCCAAGGCTCAGCACCCACAGTCGTAGCACCCCCAGGCTCAGCACCCCCAGTCGTAGTACCCCCAGGCTCAGCACCCCCAGGCGTAGCACCCCCAGGCTCAGCACCCCCAGTCGCAGCACCCCCAGACTCAGCACCCCCAGGCTCCGCACCCACGTGCGCAGCACCCTCAGAGTCAGCACCCCCAGGCTCAGCACCCGCAGCAGTACCAGAATCACCAGCAACCTCGACCGGCTCGACTGCATCTACCTGGGACACACCTGAAGGAGCAGGACCCTGAGGGGGGAGGGGGTCTACTGGGGGGGGACCTGGCACAAGGAAGTGCGGTGGCGGGGGGAGGGAAGGAGTGCGGTAGGGGAAGAGGCGGTAGTAGGGGAGTGACTCGTCGAACGTGACGTCCTGGGAGGACAGAACACGACGAGAGGTGGGGTGGTAGAACTGCCACCCAGGGGCGTCAAGGGGGAAGCCAAGGAAGACACAGGGAGCAGCACGAGGGGACAGCTTGTCCGCAGACAAGTCGCGGACAAACGCCCGAGATCCCCAGACACGGAACGCAGACGCATCGCCGATCTTCCCCGTCTACAGCAAGGCTGGGGAGGTCTCCGGCCTGGAGACCCTGGGGTGAAGGTTGATCTGATGCGCCGCGTACCGAACCGCAAACGGCCACAGAAAATGGGGGGCAGCCGCATGCATCATGGACGTACGAGCGACGTCCATGACCATGCCAATGCGGTGCTCAGCAATCCCATTTTGCTGTGGAGAGTCCGGAAGCGTAAAGGTCTGGCAGATGCCTCGCGCACGACAGTAGGCTCGCAGAAGGCCAGAGGAGAACTCTCCGCCTCGGTCAGAGTGCAGACGCAGAATAGGAAAGTCCGAGCCGAAGCTCCTCCTGAGCTGGAGACGAGCTGCGCGGATCCAGTCCATCAACACCTCAGTGACATCATCCTTGCTGCGCAAGGGGAAGACTGTGGTGTAACGTGAGTAGTCGTCAACCACCAGCAAGAAGTAGTGCTCGTGACCCTGTCCACGGACGCGGGCTGGGCCCCACACGTCCATGTGAAGCGTCTGCAGCGGGGCCTCTGTCGGGGGAAACTGAGAGGAGTGAGGGGCAGCCCGGAGCCGCCCCTCGACACAGGGGACACAGGAAGGACCAGGCCCTGGAGGAAGGGGAGGGAGGGACCGGGGAAGACCAGAGACAAGGACACGGGAAGCCATGCCTCGGAGACGAGGCAGGGAGGGGTGACCAAGACAGTGGTGCCACAGGATAGTCTCGTGAGACAGGAGGCGACACGAGCAGGGGGCAGACTCAGGACCAGACCTGGACGCTGCAGCAAACACCTGACCCGACGCAGCTACCTGGCCAGAAGCAGGGACAGGAGGGGACCTAGTGGTCTGGGTGTAGAGGCTCGACCCCGGCCGACGCGTAAACGTGGCCAGGTGCCGGCCCGTGCGAGCGTCCGAGCAGTGGGTCACCCGCTGACTCGCAGGAGTAAACTGGTGAACCCCCGTATCCTGCAGGTCAGCACCACTCACCAAGTTCGTAGAGAATGAGGGGAGGTAAAGACCAGACAAGGTGCCAAAGGGGGCAGCCGGACACGGGAGGACAGTGGAGAAGTGAGAGAGGACAGGACCCCCAGAGGGGTCTGCCAGGGAGACTGCAACCGGTCGACCAAGCGGCGTGAATGTGGTGCGGTCTCGAAAGAAGGAGCGAGAAGCCCGCGAGTCAAGTGTGAAGGTGAGGGAGGCCGAAGCCGACGCGGTACCTGAGAGTGCAGCCTCACCAGTACCTGAGGGCGCAGACGCGCTGGCACCTAGAGCAGCAGCCTCATTAGCACCTAGCGCAGCAGTACCAATGCCCGGGTCGGGCGAGAAACACCGGTAACAGTCACCCTCATCACTAATAGTCACAGCATACATGGCAGCAAGGATAGCATCAAAGTCAAGATCATAGATAGCGACACCTGCCCTAGACAGGTCTCCCCAGCGGGGGATCTCACTAGCCTCCGGGAACTGCTGACGCCAAGCGTCCGTCACGCGGCCAAACCAGCGCTGGGTGGGGTGGGCACCCCCACACTGCTCACCCGCGCAGTCGCCGGAGCGAAGGACGTAGGTGCACGAGCCAAAACCCCCACCACGCTGACGCTGCGTGTACCACTCACGGAGCTGCTGAGGAGGAGGGATGTCCCGAGAACGCTGCTGCTGCTGCTGGCGCTGACCACCACCGGAGCCGCTCCGCTGCGAAGCACCACCCCGACCAGCTCCACCTCCTCCACCACCGCCGCCTCCACCTCCGCCACCACCGCCGCCTCCGCTCCCACCGCTACCGCCTCCGCCTCCGCTGCTGCCACCGACACCTCCACCCCCGCCACCACTCCCACCGCCACCCCCACTCCCTCCGCCGCCTCCACCGCCACCTCCACCACCCCCGCTAGCTCCACTGGCGCCCTTGCCCCCCTTGCCCTTGCCAGAGCGGCGTCTCCCGCTAGGAGCAGACGCCGCACCGACCGACTCAAGACCAACGAGGTCGGCCGCAGCAGCAGAGGCGACAGAGGGCAACAGGGGGGAAGGGGAACACCCCTCAAAGATGGGGGTGCGAGGGTCACCACGAGAGGCTCCTACAGCGACTATGCTCTTCTCCGCTGCTAGGAGGGCCTTCTCTAGGAGGTCAACAGTGAGAGTGGTGGGACAGACTGAGAGAAAGTGGTCCCTGACTACGCGAAGGGAGTCAGGGAGGCGGGTGACTATATAATAGAGAGTGATGTACATGGGGGGGGGGTTCTTGGCGCAGAACTCAGCAGGAAGCGCGGCGCGGTAGCGAGTGTCACTAGTGCGGAGGTGCGTAATGAGGTCAGCGACTGTGGGAAAGGCAGCAAGGTCAGGAAAGAGGTACGGTAGCATGAGGCGGCTCAGTGCAGCAGTGGCAGGGGAAGAGTAGCGTGCAACTACAGCGTCGTACAAGGTCTGAGCACTCTTGTACAGACTAAAGTGCGCGCGCTCAGTGGTAGGCAGGTGGCGACGCACAGCAAGACGTGCAGCAGCATCGCGAGTGGTCCACTGGGAGCGAACAGTGGCGTCGGCATCGGAGCAGGGGCAGGGGAAGCACCAGAGGTGAGGTCAAAGAGGGAGAGACCGTCTGCCCTATCGCTCTGTAGGAAAAGCTGCAGGTCATCTACCCAAACCTCAAAGTCAATGGCTCGACCCTCAGCGTCAAAAGCGAGAACACTGGGGGTAGCCATGACAGCAGTGGACTAGCAGTACCAACTGTAGGACAGGGGCAGTGCAGTGACAGAAGCGCTGCTCTCACCAGACAGGGCGGGTCGGGCAGCTCAGCAGTACACCAGCACCGCAACACGGCTGCTCGGACGGCACAGCAGCAACTGCGGCTCCGTGGCACCAGCGGCTCGGCTCCTCAGGCGGCTCGGGCGGCTCAGGCGGCTCGGGTAGCTCGGGCGGCTCGGATGGCTCGGGTGGCTCGGGCGGCTCAGGCGGCTCGGGTGGCTCGGGCGGCTCGGGTGGCTTGGGCGGCTCGGTTGGCTCGGGCTGGTCGGGCGGCTCGGGAGAGTCGTGCGGCTCGAGCGGCTCGGGCAGGTCGGGCGGCTCGGGCGGCTCGGGCGGTTCTGGCGGCTTGGGCGGCGCGGGCAGTGTAGGGCGGCAGGGCCGTTGGTGAAGGGGGGGCGGCAGGGCCGCTGGGAAGGGCGGCGGGGCCGCTAAGTAGGGCGGCGGGGCCGCTGAGAAGGGCGGCGGGGCCGCAGTAGAAGGGCGGCGGGGCCACTGAGTAGGGCGGCGGGGCCGCAGCGAGAAAGGCGGCGGGGCCGCAGTGAAGGGCGGCGGGGCCGCTGCGTAGGGCGGCGGGGCCGCAGCGAGAGAGGCGGCGGGGCCGCAGTGAAGGGCGGCGGGGCCGCTGAGACGAACGGCGGGGCCGCTGAGACGGGCGGCGGGGCCGCTGAGACGGACGGCGGGGCCGCTAAGACGGGCGGCGGGGCTGCAGTGAGAGAGGCGGTGGGGCCGCAGTGAAGGGCGGCGGGGCCGCTGAGTAGGGCGGCGGGGCCGCAGCGAGAGAGGCGGCGGGGCCGCAGTGAAGGGCGGCGGGGCCGCTGAGACGAACGGCGGGGCCGCTGAGACGGGCGGCGGGGCCGCTGAGACGGGCGGCGGGGCCGCTGAGACGGGCGGCGGGGCCGCTGAGATGGGCGGCGGGGCCGCAGCGAAGGGCGGCGGGGCCGCAACATGAGGCATCGGGGCCGCAGCGAAGGGTGGCGAGGCCGCGAAGAAGGGCGGCGGGGCCGCTAAGACGGGCGGCAGGGCCGCAGCGAACGGCGGCAGGGCCGCGACGAGGGGCAGCGCGGCCGCAGCGAAGGGCGGCAGGGCCGCGAAGAAGCGCGGCGGGGCCGCAATGTGGGGCGGCGGGGCCGCAGGGAAGAGCGGCGGGGCCGCTGAGAAGGGCGGCGGGGCCGCTGAGAAGGGCGGCTCGAAGAGGTGAGAGCCCGGAGCGGGACTCGGGCTGAGCGCGCTTCGGGCAGGAAAAAAAAGATCGATGTGGTGGGCCCTAGGCACAGTTCCCACGGGGGAACCTGCTCGATACCATGAGAAAAGTAGAACGAGAATGAATGACTAAGGAATGGAAGTGATACAAATATGCAGCCCTAGAAATGTGTACCCCATATAGGCTACCCCACTATAGCCTACACAATATTATATTTTGACAAGAACTATATATTCCTTCTCTGTTTGTACCTGAATATAGTCAATTTGATTCAAGCGAATTTTGTTTCTACGCGGTGCCACGGCGGAATGCTACCCGAGTCAACGCTAGTACGCTAGCACTCCAACGCCATGCAAACTTACTCTGAGCCATAACTTCGTAATGGCAGAACTTTACGCGAGACAACTTGGCTTATACTAAAGCTCTTGGATTGAGCTTCGATATAGGAAATTCTCAGCTTAATCCGGTCGACGGTCTGCATGATACGCTGCGCGACGTTCAAGGTACTCTTGCTGTTTTGACTTAGTCCCTCTTGATCCCTCTCTCTACAAACTCGGACCCGAGGATAGGGGCTGGTCTTGTACCAGGCACCCAAGGACCCTTGGAGGTGACCCCGAGGAGAGGTTTTAAGTTTGATAAAGTCTTAACAGCTTGAGTTTATTAGGCCCTTACACCAACAAGCTGGTATCAGAGCTGCGTTATAGTGATCCTCGATATAGGTAGCTATGGCGGGCAACACCTCGGCGGTAGCTGGTGAATCTTCAGCCCAAGATCGTAGCGGCAGCCAAGATTCTGGTGTTTCTGCGCTAAGGGGAGCGCGAACAAGCCAGGGCTCGCTGATCAAGGAGGTGCTGAAAACTTCACTATCGAGAAGTTCAATGGTGAGGGCTATGATGATTGGGCCTGGAAAATGCAACTTTTTTTCCGTCAGATCGGATTGCTGAAACTAATGATTGGGGAGGAGCCTAGACCGAGTGACCCCGCGCTGCAGGAAGATTGAGACGAGCGCTCCTCGGCTGGCTACTATTTGATGTCGCAGAGTTTGGAGCTGAACCAGCGTCACCACGTCATGCACCTGCTGCCGGAGGTTGAGTGCGGTCCGAAGGCGTGGACGGTGTTGAAGGAGCTGCACGCCCCGACCTCCGTTGTTGCAACATTGATGCTGGAGAGGGAGCTGTCCGCGTTGCGCCTGAGCGAGGGAGAGCCGGTGCAACCTGTCCTGGACAAGATGCGCGACCTCTACGCGAAGTTGGCGACCGCGGGAATCACCTACCCGGAGCAGACCAAGTGCCTGAAGATGCTCTCGCTGCTGCCGGAATCGTGGCTTCAATTCACGAGCGGATTGAGCCTGCCGCAGAACCAGAGCTCGTGGACACTCGAGTGGGTGCGGACAAAGATTCTGGAGGAGGACTTCTGTTGCTGTCAACTGAGGGGTGGAGACGACGGCAGCAGCGGCTACGGAATGCAAGGGAGCTGACGTGGCAGAGGACGTGGCTTCGGTGGTGCTGGACGCGGTGCAAAGAAGGACGACGACTCTAACGACCAACAAGGAGGTACCGGTTGGGGTCGCGGTGCGAAATCTGGACGTGGGGGCAAGTCGGGTGTTGGTGGCAAAATGAAAGGGAGTTGCTGGTATTGTGAGAAGGAAGGGCACCCCTGGTTTTTGTGCTATAAGAAACCCGATGGATGGACCCCCCAGAATCGTCACCAGGATGGCGGCGCGCGGAGGAACCAGAAAATTGGCGCGAGCATGGTCGCCGATTCGTCCGACAACAACCCGAAGAGCAACGGCGGTGCGGAAAAGGAGGAGCGCACCGCGGGCCAGTTCTTCGATATTGGAGAAGAGGGGGAGCAGGGGGGGCAAGAAGACGCCTCTCCCAAGGTTGGAGCAGAGCTGCACCCCCTGGATTATTGGGTGTTGGACACGGGCGCTGCTTGGACGATGACGCCGCGAAAAGACCTGCTGGACCACGTACGAGCTGCACCGATCAACGAGGTGTGCTCCGACTCCAGACACACGCTGAAGGTGGCTGGTGCGGGACGAGCTGCGTTTAAGGGAGCGGATGGCAAGCCGGTGGTGCTGCACGACGTTCTCCTTGTTCCTGAACTCAAGGCCAACCTCATATCCCTCCGTAAGCTTGGCAAGTCTGGGGTTAGCACTAGCACGGATGGGGCACGCACTTAGAAGGGGCAGCTGGGCAATCGGGTGCTTTGGGATCTGCACGAGAGTACGGACGTGTATAGATCCATGTGGCAGCTGCCGGTGTTGGCGTGACATGGCGGGGGGCAGGCTGGAGAGGGGTCTGCATCCCAGGGGGAGTGCAACGCCATTGGAGGGGTTGGTGTGAAAGTGTCGGCCAGATCTGGGGAGACGGATTGGGCAACGGCACACCGACGCTTGGGGCATGTGGCAATGCCCTTGTTGAAGCAGTTGGAGGAAGATGGAGCCGTTAATGGTCAGAATCTGAACGGACAGCCACCCGATGAGAATTGTGAAATCTGTTTGCTCTTAAAGTTTACCCGTTTCCCCTTCCATAGTGTGGCTGGCAGGAGCAAGAAGCCATTCGAGCTGGTCCACATGGACTGTTGGTGTAAGGGCCTAATAAGCTCAAGCTATCAAGACTTAATGAAACTTAAAACCTCTCCTTGGGGTCACCTCCAAGGGTCCTTGGGTGCCTGGTACAAGACCAGCCCCTATCCTCGGGTCCGAGTTTGTAGAGACAGGGATCAAGAGGGACTTAGTCAAAACAGCAAGAGTAACTTGAACGTTGCGCAGCGTATCGTGCAGACCGTCAACCGGATTAAGCTGAGAATTTCGTATATCGAAGCTCACTCTATGAGCTTTAAAATAAGCCAAGTTGCCTCGCGAAAAGTTTTGCCATTACGAAGTTATGGCTCGGACAGCGTTAGCCTAGCGTTGGAGTGCTAGCGTACTAGCGTTGACTCGGGTAGCATTCCGTAGTCGCACCGTGTAGAAACAAAATCTCAGGAAGGGAGGAATTCGCTTGAATCAATTTCACTATATCCAGGTACAAACAGAGAAGGAATAAATAGTTCTAGCTAGCAAGGACCTTGGGAATAAACCTGGGAACAACCAAGGATGATCCCAAATAGTTCCAAGCAACAGAACAACCTGGCTGGACAAAACAGCAGGTGGTAGGTTGGTAAACAACCTCTAGTTCTGTTTTTCCAACCTGGGAAAACAACAACCAGGTTCAGGTCCTAAAAACAGAACCTGTTTTGTCTTTGCCCAACCAGCCAAATGCAGGGTTCCGCTGGTTTCCCCTGGCCCTGTAGCATGTAGATACAGACAAACAACATACAACCTTCACCTAAATTGTACCCCTATAGTGCCTGCCCTGCTACACTATAGTCAACCAAACAAAACAGTACAATTTCGAGTTGGATAGAACTGAATCTGCGCTATCAAGTAAGCCGAACCGCAAAGCTTCCATCTTGGGTTCCTTTGCGAGCTCGTCCTTTCTGCTTGTACAATTCATAGCACGTACAATGTTATGCCGAAGCGCACAATGCGCGAGTACCTGCAAATGCTTCAAGCGAAAATTGCAAAAGCAAACAAACACACGAACATTCCATTCATACCCAAATGCATTCGCACACGCATACTCGTACAAACAGATGGCAGGATGTCGTGCAATGTGAATTTGCACCCAACATACTCCCCCTCAGCCTGCCGGCTGCATCACCATCATTCCATACTAGTTGATGCTCATTCTACTAATGCGCACACAACGC